TAGTAAAATAGTGTCCCTTATATAAAATGGCAAAATCAAGGTTTGCTTTTTGGAATTTAAAAAATATATATTTTCAAAACCTGGATGGTTGTTGAATATGTGGATGCAGAATTCATGGATATGGAAGCCAGCTATAACAACCACTACCACCTGTTTGTCAATCTTATTACAGTACAGTTCTGTTTCTTTTTCTTGGTGCAAAAGACCCCTTTTGCATATATTTAGGGGTTAGGTGGGACAGTTAGGGAATGTGATAGGTGTGGTTCTTATGAATTGCCCTGCCCTCAATTCTCAGTTTATTTCCTATTGGGGAGGTGGAAGGGCCATCATGGACAAAACCTTCTCAAGAAACTTCCCTGATCTGCCCCAATTTTTCCTTGTACAAAGATCCTTTGTTCTCCATAGCTTGCACTCTATTTTACTTGCAGCACAGCAACAGTAAAGTCCATTTGGGGACCTTCTGCCATTTCTCCAGTGCTAATGTGTGGGTTTATGTCTAAACACCTCTCCCACATTGTACTTTACATTCCATTTTTATTACCTTTTTATTTTATTTTTTCTTCTTCTGTCATGTGAGAATGCAACTATGGTGTCAGTGCAGTGGGATTCCAGCCCTGGAAGTAGGAGGATTAACATATCAAAGAAGGTGTGGGAGTGGAGGGGATGGAGATGGAGGTGGACAGATGTGAGGGGAGAGAGATCAAGAGATCCAAGGTGGAAGAAGAGAGTCAGATAGGAGGGAGAAGAAGTGAGAAAGATCACCAGATAGAGAGAAAAGGAGGGGGACTGAGATGGGGAAAATGCAGGTCTGTGAAGAGTGATTGAGCTCTTATTTTAATTGTTTCGTTGATGAGGAATGTGATGCTATAGTTGCAATAATGTTATTTAAAAAAACAGCATGGGAAATGTGATGTGTGGAAAGGTGACAACAACTTACAGGGCTGCAGCCAAAAATATATGATGGGAGGGAAAATGTGCAGGGGAATGTATTAGGAAAGTACAGTGCGGGCATGTCAAATATCTCCCAGCCCAGGAAATCTAAAATGCAAATGATTGCTATAGTGATGGGACTGAGACCATAACATAAAAGGTACCATTACAATCCTGGTAACAGAATTTTATCAATTCTACTTCTCTAGCAGAATAAAGGACCAGTGTGAAAATGTTATGGGGGTTATATCCCATTGAACTAAATAAGAACTTACATGAATAGTTCTGTAAAATTGTTCTCTTTTATAGTAAAAGAAATTCAACAGAAAGTTAAATACCTTAATTTTTTGGTTAAGCAACTTGATTTCCATTTTCAAACTTGTGGTAAGTGACTGAGCATCAAGTGTCTTTTTCTTTTCAACTGCTAACTGATGATTAAAGGATGTATTGTTCAATGCCAGCTGCTTTTCTAGGTCCTAAATATATTATAAGCAAATTGTATTATATTATATCTGATTTATCTTCTTGCCTATTGAATGTTTAGAAACACAGTATTACATTTATAAAGGTAAGTGCCACAACAAACACTGGACATTTTTAATGAACCTTCCCAGTTTAAAAAAAAAAAAATTAAACACACACACATTTTCATTGGCAATAAATGCTATATTATGCTATGTATAAAAATTAATGTTTAAAGACAGTAACAGAAGTGTGGGGAAGGAAATAAGTTATTTCCATGAGAAGAAATATCACAGCACTCCCACAATGGATGGAATCCAATTAAGTCCTTCTGCTGATGAAATGATCTGTGGAACAGGGAAGGAGGCAATTCTCCCTTCTCCTGCAGCAACCTTTGTTCCCTCAAAATATATGCTGGAGTATTGGAGCTCCAATGGGAACAGATTTTGGGAGGGCATAGTGTCTGTGCATGAAGGAGAAAGTATATGCACAAATCCACTCAAGCAGTGTTGGAGTCTGTCTTCTGAGGGTGATTAATTAAAAACCCCAAAACAAAACAGGGCAGGAATCCAGTTAAAATTAGTCTTAATGTACTTCCATTCATCTCTTAAGAAATGTCAATATGTCAGTATCATAACAGAGCAATCAATACATTCCACTTCTTTTGAAATCTAAAAGAACACTCCCTTCTCGTAGAAGCTACTGTCAACAGCAGCTGAAGAGGTTCAAAAGACATGTTTATCCCACATCTTGCAGCACAGTCTTGAAAGGGAGAGGAACTGTTATCATCACAAAAGGACCTCTCTATCTCAGCAAGTGCAGCTAGTACCATCAAGGCAACCATATATCACACAGTCTGACAACCATTTTGCTAACTTCAGCAAATAAGGGGAAAATTTATTGCCACAGTGAATGTGGGAGGGGTGGGGAGCAACTGTCCAATACTACATTTTAAAGAATCTTGTCTAGCAAATCCACAGAGGAATACTGGAAGAAATTACACAGACTACTCAGAATTTCCCATGGAGGTGCAGAACCAAACCCAAATCGACATACCACAAAAACCTCAACCAGGCACATTCTACCTACTGCCCAAAACATGCAAACAAGGCAATCCTGGATGACCTATCATCTCAAACGTTGGAATACTCACAGTTGTCACCTCTGGATATTGGGATAATATCTTAAACCATATGTCACTAACACTGTCAGCTATGTGAAGGGCACTACTAACTTTCTGCAGAAAATACAATGCATCCACGACCCCCCCCCATGGAACACCATCTTAGCCACTATGGATGCAGAATCCCTGTATACCAACATCCCACACAAGGATGGACTACAAGCTCTCAGAAACATCATTCCAGATGGGACCTTAGCAGACCTAGCCACCAAGGTCTACCACTTTGTTTTCAGACACAACTACTTCACCTTTGGTAAAGATATCTTTCTTGAAGTTCATGGTACTGCTGACCTAGAACATTTCCTTAACTCTTGCACCCAGAAACTGCTCCTCTACCTGAGAAGCAATGTTGATGTCTTTATAATCTCAACTCATGGACAGGACTCATTCAAGACATTCCACGAGTGTTTCAACAACTTCCACCCTACCATCAATCTCAGCCTAGACCTATCAACAGAACCTTTTTATTTTCTGGACACCTCCATACAGCAACACAATGGACATCTAAGCACTACATGATATCGCAAACCCACTGACCACTAAACATACTTACATACCTCCAGTCTCCACCCTGAACACACCACCAGATCCATAGTCTACAGCCAAGCCCTTTGACAATCCCATCTGCTCAGGCTCACAATACAGGGACACTAAATTCATGAAATTACAACAAGCATTCCTTAAGCTACAATAATTATCACATGAAGTTACAAACAAACAAGTAAATAAACAAGGCAAGACTTGTACCCAAGACCAATCAATTACAGAACAGATCAAGGATAGAAAATGACAGAATCCCACCAGTGGTGACATACAGCTCCCAACTGAGACCACTGAGATGTATCACCAATGAACTATAACCAGGACAATAATGCTGCCCTCTCAAGGGCTCTTGGTGGCAGACCTTTAGTTACCTACAGACAGCCTCTAAACCTCATGCAGTTACTTACCTACAGAAGAACACACAAGACAGATATGGACACAGGTACAAAGCCTTACCAGAAACCCAGATGTCAATTCTGTCCACACATTTATTCAGGAAATGTCATCACAGAACCTAATGACATCACCCAGAATATTAGGGGGACTTTCATCATCCAATGTGATTTATGCCATAATATGCCAGCAATGCTCTTTAGCACTATACATTGGGCAAACAGACTGGTTCCTGTCCCAGAGAATAAATGGACATAAATCAGACATTAAGAATGACAATATACAAAAACTAGTTGCAGAACACTTTAGTCTTTCCTGGGCATTCCGTCTTGGACCTTAGAATAGTGGCCTTTGAACAAAAAGACTGCAGAAGAAAATTGCAAAGAAAAACAGCAGAATTGGAATATATTAACAAACTGCAGTCCCTCGGTAGTGGCTAGCACATTACACACATTATAACACTAGCTAACTCCTCAACCTCATGAGGGCTCTCTTGCCCAGTTCATCACATCTTTTTGGCTCCCACACTACATCCCTATACTAATTCATATGGTTTTCTACTAATCTTGGCTTTAGACAACATCCCTGCCTTGTCCCCCAAGAACCATTGTCCATTAAAACTGAACTTGTCACCTCATCTCCACACCAACAAAAATTTGCATTTCTATGGACATTCTTAAATACAGAATGTTATATAGGTCTTTCCATTCCACCACATGCATCTGTGGAACAAACTCAAGGCTATGAAAGCTCATGCTACCAACTTCTATCCTTCAGTTAGGGCCTCGGCAGACGGCTAATAGAGCTGTCCTCGAGGCAGGGAAGAGGAGGGGCAGCTGCACGTTCGGCGCCCCTTCTTCCTCCCGAGGTTGCCTTTGGAGCCGCCGGCCCTCCGCATGGTCGGCGCTTCGGGGGCAACCTCCCACCGCAGTGTCCGCACACGCTGTGGCAGATAAGTCAGCGAAAGTGCGCTGCAAGCTTTTGCGGCGCACTTTCACTGACTTGTGAAAGGAGCACTATTTTAGCGCTCCTTTCAGGGACAGGGAAGGAGCGTCGCAGGATCGAGGCATGGGGATGCCTCGGTCCTGCGGCGCACCTTCCCAGGGCGGCCCCGTGCCGCCAGTCTGCTTCCCCCCTTAGTCTCAAAGGTTCAGCAAGATCCCTCTACACAGTGAGTTATTGTTACCTTTATTTAAGAAAAAAGATTATGGAAAGACACAACTGAGAATAAGTCAGTGGGTGATTGCAGCAACAGTGATTTCTCACTGCTTTTGAACAGTTACTGCTGAAAGCCACTCCAAATCAACCCCATGCCCCATACTCACTACTGTGGAAAAGTGCTATCCACCCTCTTTCCACATTCCAAAGCAAAAGATCAGGATGAATCCATCTGACTTCATTAACGAAAAAGATGAGGATTGACCCATATTTCTGAAACTTCCATCTGGGAGGCATGGTATTAATTCAGCAGTTATATAAAGATATAACTGACCTAGTATGGTGTAGTGGTTTGAACACTGGACTACAACTGGAGACCAGGGTTCAATTCCCTGCTCTGTCATGGAAGCCCACTGGCTGACCTTGGGTGTGTCATGCACACTCAGTCCCTGAAAGCCCAGCGATAGGGTCACATTAGGATCACCATAAGTTGGAAACAACTTGAAGGCACACAACAATGAAAGTAGGTGCAGCCCTAAAACATAGGATATCTTGACAGATCTGAGTCTTGCTCCATTTTAATCTCCATCCCAAGAATATAGCACCATTAAGGGCAGAAAAGAGAGTGGCAAAGAAGAGAAAGCATCTGGGATGGCATTTACCATTAAAATCACATTCCCTCTCTTGTTGCTGCTGTTAGTTATGCCAAGCTGTGCTCATCATATATAATGGTTACAGCCACTGAATATTTGCTGGCTATCTTTTTAAAGGGAAAAGCAGAGAGCACTTGTTTAATAAACCCCTGAACCACCCACCTATCTACCTTATTTTCCTGCGTATAAGACTACTTTTTAATCTGCAAAATCTGTGGTTAAAGTGGGGGGGTCTCTTATACGCCGGGTATAAAGATAAGGAGGATAGAGGTGCTAAAACTCTATATTTTGACTGGAAAAATGGGGGGTCATCTTATACGCTGGGTCGTCTTATACGCCGGAAAATACGGTATGTTGCCACAGAAAACACATCTGAAATAGAATTATGTTCAAATTGCATCTCCACTTTAATGTGCATGTTACAGCCCAAACATAAACATATTACCTGAATTTTCTTATCACTAGCTTCCATCCTTTGTGTAAGGGCTGTTAATCTGTGTTTAAGTTCCCCTCTCTCAGCAAGATGTTTGTCTTCAGAAAGTTTCTGCAATGCCTGCAAGGTATCTTTTGTCTTTAACAGTTGTGCTTCCACTTCTCTAAGCTTCCTGGATGCATTCCGCTCCTGCTCCTGTGATTTCCTGAGCAGTGCCCTTAGAGTTTTCACTTCACCACACTGTTTTGCCATAAGATCAGGCAGGTTAGTCTCTGCATTTTCGTATTTACTTATTGCTTTCAAATGGCGATGCTGCAGCCGCTTCAAAATCTGGTTTTCCATATTAGATGCCTCCAATTTATTGTTCAGAACAAACACTTCATTCTTTAGCTCTTTAACTTTGTGAAGTCTGGCTGACAATAAGCGACGAGCCACATTATTCTTCTGGGAATTTATAACATTGTTGGTATCAAAATAAATCTTTTGCTGCTTTTTCTTTTTAGGTAATGCCTTTCCCCCTACATTTAAACCAGAATAAACCGAGATGGTATGTGACTAGAAAAAGTAAAATGTGTGTAAATCTATACAAGCACCAGACCCTGCTATTCAAAGTTAAAATATAGCCTCAGAAATGCTGAGAAATGATCATCTTGACAACAACCTAATTGTTCAGACTTTTAGGCTTATATATTCACTGTGTAGTTATTTTTACTGAAGTATTTTGCCAGTTATTTTCACTGAAGTATCTCTGCTACAATGATTTTGATTATTCACTCATTCTAGTAAAAGGTCCTTCAGTCTAGTGACCATTTGAGAATTCTCATGAAATAATAATTAAAAAAATATGAGAAGGCTTCCCTTGTCAAAGAGATGTGGATGGTCTGGAGATTCTTATAATGGTGCTCCTGAATGTACGGACACCAAGATCTTAACCAGATACAGAAAACTGTATAAGGAATTCATAAAGCAAAGATGACTTTAAGCAGAGGTGGGAATCATTTGGCTCCCAGCAATCCTCACCACTGACTGTGATGGCTATGGAAGCTGGGATGTGCAATCCATTATTTGAAGGGTCTCTCAACTCTGCTTTATACATGAATTTAGTAAAATTAAGATAGCATTGCATATCCACTGAAGGATTTTTTATTTTGATGAGACAGTTATGAGTATATGGTTACACAATGCCACATTTTCTACCAACAAACCTGTGGGGTGGTGGAAACCATAGAGCTTGGATTTATACAACAGTTGTATATGTTAGGAAGAAAAATGCGGATCCTCAAATAGCGTTTAATACCTCCAGCCCACCAGGGGTGGAGATGGTGGTACTAGTGGCTAACCTATTGGGATACTACTACTACTACTACTACTACTACTAATAATAATAATAATAATAACTAGCATTCATTTAACAGGGAAGGGTGAAATAGTAAAACAAATATTCAAATGAATAAACAATGTAAACAAAGTTTCTAATTAATGGAATGCAGCCCAGTAATTATGTTGTCCACAACTGTAATAATATTTCTTAAGTCTTGTATTTGTCTGTACAGTTTGGCTCAGGGGTAGCTGTAGGCATCAATCATTGATCATGGAGCAGTTACTGATTACAGTGGGGCCTTGGTATCTCCTGGGGTTTGGTTCCAGGACCCTCTGCGGATACCAAAATCCATGGATGCTCAAGCCTCATTAAATACAATGGCATAGTGAAATGGTGTCTTATATAAAATGGCAAACACAAGGTTTGCTTTTGGAATGTATATTATTTTTGAATATCTTCAAGCTGTGGATGGTAGAATCCATGGATAAAAAATGTTGGAAACAGATGGCCAACTGTACTAATTGTACGAGGGCAGGATGCTGTGTTTTCCTTCCTTGTCTTCTCTCAGCTTAACTTCCCTTCACTGTATTTGTCTCCCTTCTCTCCACTCCTTCACTCCCCTCAAACTTTTCCCCAAGATCTCCATCACCCTTTTGCTCCTCATACCTCTTTGTCTCTCTCACAGCCAACCCTTCTACTGTAGCTCATCAGGGTCAAAAAAGATTTAAACCCTGAGCATTCTACCAAGGAATGCACTGCTGAGTGTTACAGTTACATGGATCTATATGCATCCATCTATCCATCTATCTACCAGAGGTAGGCAACTTCTACATGTCCAGGGGCCATCCCCATCCCATCCCACCTTGTGGATCATGCCAATCCCTGCCACTTTATTCCTTGTCAAAATTTAATGGAACATCCGCAAAAGAGGTACGAATCTCACCTTAAAAATGGTGTTACTTCCTTTAAACAATTAATATTTAAACATGCTTTCCATTCACCTTGTTTACAAGTGGATTTGCAGTTCCAAGAAGCTTCTGGGAGCATTAATCTGTTTGTAAACAAGGTGCAGAGGGAGTGCACGCCTTGGTTTGAAGGAAAAAGGCACATTCAAAGCTGTGTTTGAACTCTTTTCCTTTATGTTCGCTGGCAAAGCATATTCAGTGACAAGGGATCCTTGCAGGAGCTTTGAGAGGACCACAAATGTGCTTAGGAGACATATGTTGTCCACTGTTAGCATTGCTGATGAATAATAACTATAATCACATATGCATAATGTAAAGGGCTGCTTCTAGGTTTGAGGGAACATAAAGAAATCCTTCCACAATTAATGGGCTTTTCTGATAGGCTTATGTGACAGTGAAGGCCAGCAGCAGTCTGAATACTGGGTTGCCTTTGGGCAGGGTAGGGGTTTTTAATTCTGCTGTTTTAATTCCCCTCAATTCCTTTGATGTACCATTGCTTCTGAGACATCAAAGGAAATTAAAATTATGGCTAGAAATAGGAAAGATCCTAAAGAGTAAAGGCATACAACTGACCACTAAAGTTAGAATTGTCCAAACCATAGTATTGCCCATCACCATGCATAGATGTGAGAGCTGGACAGTGAAAAAAGTAGACAGGAAGAAAATCAATATATTTGCGATGTGGTGCTGGAGAAGAGTGCTGAGGATGCCAAAAAGATAAATAAGTGGGTCCTAGAACAGACAAATATCGAACTCTCCCTGGAAGCCAGGATGACTTAAATTGAGGCCATCGTTCTTTGGCCACATCACAAGAAGACATAAACTCATTTTTTATTGTTCACCGCCTAGATTGGTTTTCCACTAGGGCGGTATACAAATAAAATATATTATTATTATTATTATTATTATTATTATTATTATTATTATTATTATTATTATTATTATAAAAGCCAATAATGCTAGGAAATGTAGAAGGCAGTAGAAAGAGAGGAAGACCCCACATCAGATGGCTAGACTCAATCAAGGAAGTCATGGGCATGAATTTACAAGATCTAAGCTTCGCAGTAGAGGATGGGAAGGCTTGGAGATATCTCATCAACAGGGTCACCATGAGCCAGGGTTGATTCAGGGCAGTTAACAACAAAATGATGATTCTTAAACTGCTACTAGATACCCTGTTGCTTGCTGTGGAGAGCAAGGCAGATATCAGTGAGGGATACTTCCAGGATGCTAGAGTTCCAACAACTACCTGGGGATGCCATGTGCTGATGCCAGGTCTATGAAGAACCCTAGACTTAGCATTCAAAGGACACAGAATGATTTTAGAAGTGTAGTGGGGAAATAAAAGGACAAGGATGGCGACATCATGGGATAGAAAGGTATTAATAGAGAAGGTTTAAAGTATAAGGATTATTATATTACATAGAGAGATAAGCAGTGGAAGTGATATAGGAAAGATAAAGATGGCCAATAAAATGAAATAAAATATAGAGGGAACATGTTGAATATCCTCAGTCTCAAGATAGTGCAAAGTGAAAAGAAGCAAATATGAAAGTGGTGAGACTTTTGGATCATGTCTATTCACCATCTTCCTACAGATCAGGGCTTTGTCAGCTGAAGGAAAGAAACCATTGTTAATTCTCAGTTATTTAGACACCAAACCTAGCTTTTCTGTCAATCAAACTGGTCTTATTTGAGATTTAATATTCTTTTGGGCACATCTGGGCAGACTGGGGAAAATTAGGTTGCAAAACATATTTGGAGCAAAACTGTTAATCTATAAGGAATTACATCAAAGCATGCATAGTACATTAGAACAAAAGGTAGTTCTAGGATAAAAACTGATTTAGAATTGAAATTTATTTTTAATTCATATGAATATAAGAAAAGCCATGTTGGCTCAGACCAAAGACTGATCTAGCCCTATATTTTGTTCACACAGTGGAAGCCCAGTAGAAGGGTATAATTACAATTGCCATTATTTACTCTCTTGCAACTGATATACAAAGGCATACTGTCATTGGAAGTGAT